AATTTTAAGAGACAATTCTGTCCGTGTAGTTAAATCTAATTAATGATTTTTGTATCAAATAAACAATTTAGTAAATATTTACTTAGTTAACTATTCAAATTAATATTTTTTTTAATTTAATATTTTTTTAGTATACTTATTTCTTATATCTGTCTTTTTATTTATGTTCTTTTTATTTATGTTTATTTCTTATATCTGTGTTTTTATTTATTTTCTGAAAACTATTTCTGCAAAGCATCTCTGAAAAGGCACCGTAATATCGGAAAATACTTAATATTGAAAGAATGTTTTTCTTATGTTTTTGATGTCTCGTCCAGTCGTGCGAATGGAATTCATCTCAAATCGATTTTTGCATGAGTTTGCACCGCGGAATTTATTAATATCGCTCTGATAAAATGTGCCATGACTGCGTGCCGTGAATAAGCGACGTTAAGCATAATTGACAGGAGCGATGGACACTTGCGCAAATCCTCTATGCATCCGCATCTACCGAGACGTCTCATAAGTAGAGCAAAGACGTCCTTAAACGCATCTCTTCGAGAGCTTCGTGGAAATGAGCTGTCAGCTGATTTTCACATCGTAATTGATCACGAAAGAGCCGACGCTTTCATCAAACTGTCGTCATTTATGTCTAAAGCTTCATGATTGAATAATTCATAATACCAAACATTTTCATTTCACACACACACACATTTTTGCATTTCTCTTTTATATATGTATGCGATGTTTACTTAACTCTTTCATGGTAATGATTCAAAAATCACATTTTTTTAGTTGTATCACTTTCGAAGTAAAGTATATAAAAGAAAAATGCAAAATATATATGTATATACAGTGGCGTGCAAAAATTTCCGGCGTGATATTTTGTATTCTAATTTATAAAAAAAGCCTGATAAAATTTTAACTATTATCGGGTATCAGTACAAGATGTGGATAACGAAATCTTGTACTAACATCTGATAATGATTAAAATTTGATCGGGCTTTTTTTATAAATTAGAATATACAAAATATTACTGGCCGAGAACTTTTGCACGCTACTGTATATTTTATATATACTTATGCATTGTGCAATTAACGCAGTTAATTCGTAAAGCGAATGTGATATGACGAGTGTGACTCCGTCCGGAGAGTTCGCAATATGCAAATGGCTTATATTGTGCGCATTTAGGCCAATGATAATGAACGTAAGCTATCACTACACGGTAATTCAATTCTCTCTTCTCAAGGAACAAAGGACATTTGCATGTACTTCGAAGATATATCAAGTTACATGTTAAGAAGTTAACGAGGTGCTACGTGTCTCTTACTTTCAGCGGTGAAACTTGACTAAATTGTAAATGCGTTGTATGTATCGTTATCGTTATGTCAAATGTACCGATAATAATCCTTAATTTATGTATCCATACGCGGTGGGTGGATACTGCGGTTTTGTCTCATGCAACTGTATTTATAGAAATATTACGACATTTTCCCGCAATTACATTTATAGATCTAAAGAGGTAAATATTACAAATATAAAATGATATAATAATATAATAATCAGCACGATTATTATCAAAAGTGTAAAATGTCATGCAATATTACATATATTCAAATACACGAAACGTGAATAGAATATGATATTAAATACATTTACAAAGGAAACATAATTTTATTCCCATTTAATACAGGATTTCTATCTGTGGTTTTCAACAAATCCTATCGCATTTTCGCAATGTTAAATATCTACAGAATATTTTCCATTCAAAATCACGTATTAAGATATTTAATAAATTGCAATTAGCAATTGCATTAGCAATTGCGTTAAATATAATCTCATTCATCTATTCGTTCCCCGATATATTCCAATAATATCAAATCGATTGAAAAGTCCGTTCACTTTGTTTTTTCATTGTACACTTAAAAATGACATAGGCAAAAAAAAATATATATGAACGAGTCTTTCAAATTGAAATAATCTATTTTCCTAAGACGCGATCTCTTTTCCATGGATCAAAGTGAAATAAGGACTACGTACTTACAGACCCTTAAGAAGCACCTCTTGAAGAAGGAGGACAGGAAGAAGCCAGTCCGTACATTTGGCTGCCTGTGGCATCTTCCCTGCAGAAAAAAACATCGAGCCAGGTGCGTGTCGGGGCACCATCGGCACGGCAGGCAGGCGGCATGGCAGGGTTCCCGTGCCGCTTCTGCGAAGCCGTGTCGGGGAGGCTCTGGATAGCACGCGCTCGTGTGGCACGCGAGTCGCAGGCACGATGGAGCAGATGTTCCTCCTCCTCCTCCGGGGAAGCTCTAATGCCACACCGTCCCTCGCGTTTATTTCCCTTTATATACGCAGGATCCTCGCGTCTCCGGCAACATATCCGCTCCTACGGGTCCGCCGATGTTCTCCCCGAAGAATTCAAAACGTTTCGTAAAAGTACGATTGATAAAAAAAATATCAATTTACTTTGCCCGCAACTACGATGTGGGTTTCTTTTTCCGAAAGGTTTTAACTGTACGTTCGTTATATTACGAATTATATACGTGCTTTCTCTTCTCCAGAAGCAGATGTTTCCGGAGAGCTTTCCAATGTTTGCATTTATAAGTTTCACAATTGATTTTGTAAAAGTCCGATATGTAATAAAATTCATTCTACTATAACGGTAATGATGTTTAATATATTCTTCTTCTGAAAAGTTATGATGATACGCTTTCTGAATTCATCTTCCTTTGTGCCCAAATTAAAGGCACAACTTCTATTCTCACACGTTTTCATTAAAGTTTCTGAACTTTATACTGATTTAGAAGGATCTATTATGTAAATGTGATTCGGTACTTCTTTATTAAATGAAAGTAACTTAGTTCTTAATTGTGCCTAATATCCCGTTTTAAGCTTTAATTCTTAGTTAAGATGTATGCTTAGATCTTCGAATTGAAGTTTAAAACTCGTTGAAATCTCTTATATATGCGGTTACGTGTTGCTTCTGCATTACTCGCCGCATTTATATTGTTCAACTACATTATCGTATAACATTTAATGATACACGCACTGATTACGGCAGGGAAATACGACTTAGTTTACGAGAACGATGCACATTTTATGACGAAGCGGTACCATCGATTTCTCGACCACGCTCCAATTTTAATTCTCTGGTAATACGATTCTAACCTACGCAGGTACATTTCATCATTATTTCTTCGTGTATTACAGCAACATTTTCTTACTGAGCATTCATTGATTGAATAGAGGGAGTCTTCATTCTCGGCAAAGTTCGAGAGTCGGACGAATCATGAATCATTCCTTGCGACTCTTGGTCGCAGTCATCTCGCGTTTCATCTCTTCGGCCGGCATATGCATTTGTCATATGTTGCGCATTCATTTGCTTAAGTTATGAAATTCTTACGTAAGTCATTTAATTGACGTGCATTACGTAAGAAGTGGTCTCCGCCGCGGAAGGTTGAGTGTCACGGTCAAATACACCGTCGATGCTGCTATCGCCGCGCAGATACACCTGCCAGATGCACACCGGCGAGGATACGTTGGAGATACGGGCATATAATACGCACCTTTATGGTACCTCGGAGGGGCGAGGGGAAGACTTATACCCCTCGTCCTCGATCCACGATTCTTTCAGGGATTTCTTGTCCCGATGGTCCGAAAAGCAGACCTCGAGAGCGCCAGCTGCTCCTCTTCCATTGCCAGTTCGTCTTCGGTGTTCGAGGTGGTCGACACGCGAGACATGTGCATCGTTCTTCGTGAGAGAAGAAACGGCTCGGTGGCGCAATCGTGGTGTAATAATTACGCGCAAGAACTAGCTGTGCATCGAGAACGTCCGTGGCACACCGCATCATAGACAAAGATAGATCGCGCAATTCGATACACGTGGAAAATTGTCCGAGTCCTCGGTAGCAACATGATCATTTGCGTTTACCATTTCAGAGGGTATGTCCTCTATTCTTACGATCCGCATATTATATGCGTCGCGTATGTATATGCGCTTGTCTAATAATTAAAAACACCTGGCGTTTGCAGCCGCGTGACCAGGGTGGCACGGGGTATCGTTTATCTGATTTCAATTATCTCGGTACGGACTTACCGTACAATGTTTCTTTGTACAGGCTCTTATATAAGCTAGTTTTTCCTCAAAAGGATAAAAAAACTAAATTGAAAATCTAGAGATAAAATCTCTTCGTTTGAGATGCCGTCTTTAAGAGAAGAACGAAAATTGAAAAATTTGTTTGAATATTTCTTCCATTTTTTAATTTGTGGTCCACGATAATTCAACTTTCGAACTTTGCGATAAGTCTCTCTCCGTTATAAATCAATACTGCACTGAAAAAAATTTCTGGTTGAAAATGGACGAATCAGAATTTTCTGGTTAAACTTATTAGAATTCTAGTTGAGATAACTAGAATTTTGATTGATACAATATTTCTAGTAAAATCTACTAGAATTCTTATTTTTTTACCAGAATAATTATATCAATCAGAATATCTCAACTAGAACTTATCTCAATCAGAACTGGTTATCTCAACTAGAATCCATTTCCACCGAATTACTATTTAATCCAACCAGACCATTTTTCTCAGTGTGATGTCCACTTTTACCAATATAGATTAACTTTAATCTCGGTTTAATTTACTCTTTCTTCTTTTCTGATAGAACTAGAAAAAGATAAAAAGTTAAATCAAGATTACAGTTAACCTACATTGGTAGAAACGACTTTAAGAAAATGCTGTCCAATAATACACGGAAAAATAATGATGAAACATCTATGTATGTCTGGTAAGAATGGTGTTAATATAGACACTCAAAATCGGAGCGTGATTGAGAAATTAATGATTCTCTGCGATTTTCGTCATGTCCGTTTCGTCAAATTCTTAGAGGTGATTTATCAGAAAAGTACTTTGCAATTGAGGGATACAGAAGTAGTTAACAACCTGAGATTAGAAAGTAAAGTCTCGCGGACGTGATGTCTCGAGCAAAAATTAATTAACATTTGTCTGTCTTTTGCACAGTTTCCCGACGAAGGTGGAGAGACCGTCGCATAGCAGTACGGCCGCTAGCCAGATCCACGGCAACAGCATGCACGGCGCGTACTCGTCTGGTAGCCAGACGTCTCTGTCGACGACGTCGTACATCACGGGCCAGTCCTACATGCAGAATCAGAATTACGCACACGGGCCCCCGTATCCTGCCACGAGCGTGCAGGTTTATTCGCACAACGCGACAGGCTACTCGCAGCCGCAGAGCTACGGCACCATGGTGCAGGGTTTTGGCGGGCAACCACAGTCCGCTGGGTATCAGCAGAATCACCTTAAGAAGGGCTCGGTTCGTAACGGCGACGTGCTCAAGCGGTGTCGGCTGCAGACCGCGTAAGTCGTAATCTTATATCCTCTTTCGCGACCGCGAACAAACAACGGATGCTCAGAGAACCGTAACGGTCCGCCTGTGATGAAGAATTGTATCGAGAAGCGCAGCCAAGAGAATGGATCGGAAGTTAAAAATTGCGTGGTTTCATTTTCTACAGGTACGAGTTGTCGCAGGATCTACTTGACAAGCAGATCGAAATGTTGGAGCGGAAATACGGCGGCGTGAAGGCGCGGAACGCGGCACTGACGATTCAACGTGCCTTTCGGAGGTACACATTACTGAAGAAATTCGCGGCGATCACGGCGATGGCCAAGGCAGAAAAGCGATTGAGCAGGAAGCTTCAAGAATTGGCGATCGACCGCTCGGGCAATCTCAACGATCACGAGAGAATGGTTTATCATAGTCAAATATACATTCAGCAGGCACAGTCCGCCAACAGGTAATTAAAAACGTTTCTCCACAGAAGTTACTGTCGTTAAAAAAAAAAATTCATCGCGCTAAATTAACTGCGAATCTAGCAGACCCATGCCGATTCGAAGCATGTCTCTCAGGGAAAGGCGGCACGTGGACAATTCGCAATCGCCTATACCGAGAAGTCAGAGTGGTAGATGCGAGGTCCAGGTCAGCGGCCATCAACACACAAATCATAATTTGCATCAGAGCGGTAGACATACGCCCTCATTGGCGCCCAGCCCATGCAATCGACATCAGCAATTACCACCGAGTCCCTGCTGGGAATCGAGCTCCCAGGAGAGCGGCTCCAGCATCCATTATTACAATCCACAGGTGAGTGTCGATAAACGTAATGACAAAGGTGACGATCATATTGTAAAATGAACGGACTAATAATTTGTCACAACAAAATATATCTTGTTTTATCGCCTTAATTTGATAGAAAGATGCAATTTCTGTTTAATGCAGGAAGCCTTGTGCGGCCTGAGACAAGAAACGCCGCCAAGAGACTTGCTGCGAACACCATGTACATCGCCGTCGACGCCGCACAATCTACAGACGACTATGTCGCAAAATTGGAACAACGCCAACCTCATCCATTATTACAATCCACAGGTGAGTGTCGATAAATGTAATGACAAAGGTGACGATCGTATTGTAAAATGAACGGACTAATAATTTGTTACAACCAAATATATCTTGTTTTATCGCCTTAATTTGATAGAAAGATGCAATTTCTGTTTAATGCAGGAAGCCTTGTGCGGCCTGAGACAAGAAACGCCGCCAAGAGACTTGCTGCGAACACCATGTACATCGCCGTCGACGCCGCACAATCTACAGACGACTATGTCGCAAAATTGGAACAACGCCAACCAGCTTGGTCCTGGCAGAACAAGATGTTCCAGTAAAAAAGTTCCCCCGGAGGTGCCGAAGAGAACGTCTTCTATCACCTCGAGATCCATGGAACCACGACATAATGGTCTTAGTAAAAGTGTGGAGAACGGAAGTCTAAGTTCGGTGCAGAGCTCCGGTAGTGATTCCACCAATTGCGAAAGCTCCGAGGGCGATGCTCAGAGAGGGTCTCCTGTCTGGAAGCACAAAGGGATTGTGAGTATAGTTGACTTTCTTTCGTTATATTTACGCTTTACTTGCTCGTTTAGCGCAAGTAACGGCGATTTTCTGAGGACGCAAGCGAAAAGTGTTAACGGAACTGTTGTGATTGTGAAATCAGTCGAGTTCGCCGGAACATCAGGAATGCGCGAGTCATACTGCTGACACGGCGGCGATGACCGCTAACGTGAAGGAGCTTGGCCACTCACATGCCAGCTCCGGTTATCAGCTTCCCCTAATGGACCACACGGAAAGTCTGCCGCCTCAAACAAGCTATAAAGTGTCCGAAACAGTGAGAAAGCGACAATACAGGGTCGGCCTAAATCTTTTCAATAAGAAACCGGAAAGGGGAATCAGTTACCTTATCAGACGTGGATTTTTGGAGAACAGTCCGCAAGGAGTCGCTAGATTTTTGATCAGTCGAAAAGGATTATCCAAACAGATGATAGGAGAGTACCTTGGGAATTTGCAGAACACTTTCAATATGGCAGTACTTGAGTGAGTGGTTTAATACACTTAATATATTTGAATCAATGTTGAGAATAAAAGAATAAATTTTCGTTAATAATGGATTGTCTCATTATAGTTATACATTATTTAAAATACTTTTTTAAAAATAATACTGTCATAATATATTTAAAACATGTATTTTATTACTTATAATTCTATATTTATATCTACTAGATATATCTATACTCTATACTATAATTTAATACTTATAATTTGCAGATGTTTCTCTCAGGAGTTAGATCTTTCTGGAATGCAAGTGGATGTCGCTTTACGAAAGTTTCAAGCCTACTTTAGAATGCCTGGCGAGGCGCAAAAGATCGAGCGGTTAATGGAAGTCTTTAGTCAACGTTATTGCCAATGCAATCACGACGTAATATCGAGGCTGCGGTCGGCAGATACCGTTTTTGTCTTGGCCTTTGCTATTATCATGCTTAATACGGATTTGCATACACCTAACCTAAAGCCTGAGCGCAGAATGAGACTCGAGGATTTCATAAAGAATCTTCGAGGAATTGATGATTGCGGCGATATAGATCGAGATATCCTAGTTGGCATTTACGAACGAGTGAAAGATAACGAATTTAAGCCGGGCTCAGATCATGTGTCGCAAGTAATGAAGGTCCAAGCGACTATTGTTGGAAAGAAGCCAAACATGGCGCTGCCACATAGAAGATTGGTGTGTTACTGCAGGCTCTACGAGATACCGGACATTCATAAGAAGGAGAGACCTGGCGTTCATCAGAGAGAAGTTTTCCTCTTTAACGATCTGCTCGTTGTCACGAAGATATTGAGCAAGAAGAAGAATAGCGTAACTTACACTTTCAGGCAGAGCTTTACACTTTGCGGCATGGTGGTTACTTTATTTGAAGTTCCCCGTAAGTTTTAATGAAATAAGCTTATGAAGATATTTAAATATTAGCGTAATCTTTACTTCTGATTGTTATCATTTGTCTTGCAGATTATCCATATGGCATAAGACTCTCTCAGCGTGTCGACGGAAAAGTTCTAGTCACATTTAATGCTCGAAACGAGCATGACAGGTGTAAATTTGTGGAAGACCTTAGAGAATCTATCAGCGAAATGGATGAGATGGAAACTTTACGTATCGAAACTGAATTGGAAAGACAAAAGAGCAGTAGAGGTGCGCGGGGCGGGGCAGAAAATAGAGACTCTGGCGTCGCTGATGTAGAGATATGTCCTTGTCCCGGAACTTGTTCCGATAGAACAGAAACAGTCGATGTCGACACGCAATTGAAACGTTCCGCCCTTAGTAATTCTCTTCTTGATATACACGAGCAGTGTAAGTAAGGAAAAGTATATATTTATATTTTCGTATTTACAATTTAGCAAATATATGAAAATGTAACGTGTCAATGTACGTATTTAGTTGCCGGTGAGAAGCCACAGCGCCGTGGAAGCGTGGGTTCTCTGGACAGTGGTATGTCTATTTCATTTCAATCTACTTCTGCCAGCTCAATGAGCCAAGGCATTAAACATCCTGGACAAGTTCATCCTATTCATCCAGGAGCTACAATTCCTGGGGCCGGTGGTAAGGGACTGGCTCAGCAGCCGTCTTTTTTAGGAGGTCTCTTCGCCAAACGAGAGCGAAAACTGTCGCAATCTGAAGAGTCCGGCCCTTACAGTCGTACCACGGAAGTATAATGTACTCTTCCAGTAACGTAAACGAGGTACACTTTCGTATACCTGTTTTCTTCTAGTACGCTTCGTGTTTTTAATAAGATAAAGACGTCTCGCGTTTATGTCGAGAATTTAAATAGCAATAATTACTCTCTAATTTATTTATATTAATAAAATTGTAATTTTTATTTCTTCTACTTGAAGCTTCTCGTCGTGTAGTTTTTTCTTCTCTTAAAAAAAAAGGTGAATTATTACAAGCAGCAAGACTGCCGTGAACTGTTCTATTACCGTACTAATAGAGTAGTGTCTTTTTATACGTACATCACGAAGCGTGCTAAAGAATTAGAGCGCTAATGACGACAGCTAATAAAGACGTAAATCTGAAGGATTGGGCAGGATCCAATCGAAATCACCAAGCGCATTTAAAAAGAAAAAGAAAATTTTAACCTATTCTCCCCTCCCGAGACTATGTATAGTATTTATTCATCTAAAACAACTAATGGACACATTTTTCACACTGTATTTATAATTTACGAAGACGCGATATTGAATGATAGAATTGTGTGTAGATAATATCATTACATTTTTGCTTAGTTTTACACAAACGGGCGTTTTAACGAGTAGAATTTAATGAAGAGAAAATCTTAAATCACAAGAATTGTAAGAATACGAGATACCATCGAGAATTTCTAATAGTAATCGCTATCAACAAGTATTATCACCATCACCAATTCGAAAAAGTGTAAATAATAGGCTTATAACGACGTTCGAAATGAGTTGTCACGTGTAACAAAAAGAAATTAGTATAAGGGAAACGATAAGCAATCTCTATCGATGTTAGGTGCATGTTGATGTCTAACGATTTTTATTAACGGAAACGTGAAGTTTGAATGTAGCAATGAAATAAGACTTAACGTAAGACGTAAGACGTGTTTGTCATTATAGCGATCTATTGATAATCATTCACGAGAAGTAGTTTTTGCTTATGTATGTTGAAATTTTGACTCGAAGTTGTTCACATTTTCAAAAGGAGAAAGAAAGGAGCGAAAAGAAAAAAACCATCATGTTAAATATATCCACGATTAATTCGTTTCTCGTTTTTCGCGGCGAGAATAGACGATAGATCTAAACGTCGATAATACCATTGCGAAAGTATAATCACGTAAGCTAAGATACATACGCGAAATAAAGGGGAAAAAAAGGAAAGAAAAAAACGCGCATGCCTTATATACTGCCATGATAAAAAAATCTCCCGCGACCGAGGAACGAACTAATGAAATCACAATCGTAGAGGAAGTCGAAAATTTTTTCCAAGAGCTGTGGAATTGTATGACAAACTAATTGATCATGTACATAGCGCTGATCGTGACATCAGCTGGCTGTAAACAAGCAAACGGCGTTCATTAATTTAATGATAATCTCCCGTTAAAATAACGCATCTACATAGGAGGAGTGTTTAATATAATTCTACTTTAGATTTCTACTCTCTTTACTTGTGCTCTAATTCTTTCTTAGTATCGTGAATATCAGACGTGTGTTTAACCAAAAGATTTTAATGACGTTACAAAGGGAAAGGAGAGAGAGTGAAAGAGATCCAGTAGGCCAAGTTTGCTTAAACAGATTTTGCAAATCATTAACAAATTTTGATGCAGAATCTGTTATATCAGATGCTGGCGATAGAATGTCACAAAAAAATGTAACAGAATTTGTTTGCATGATTTGGCACCTCGATAAACAAATTGAAAACATTATACATTAATGGCATCATGAACTTACGAAAATTTTACAATAATTGCGTTATGATGATTCGTTATATTATTATTTTGCTGAAATACTATATTGAACTCAATTGAGCAAACAGTTATTAATGTTTTAGAAAAGATCAGAGTTTTTACAGAGTTTTTTTGTTTTTTAAATATACTCGTAATTGCAAATTACAAATTTTATACAGGATTTTGTTATATAATTTAATAAGTGTGTTATTCTATCGGGGTGCAGCTGATTGACAGAGCATAAGAAAGTAGTTTTAATGCGGACACAGATGGTACTGATCTGCTGAATTTTTCTAATCAAATTTGTTATCAATCTTCTGGCATTCTGCGAACAGTTTGCTTACTGGGGAGAAAAAGAGATGCTTTCGGCCGCATTGTTAATATCAGCGATAAGTTTTGTAATTATCGTTAACTTAAGATTAAGATTCGTTAGAGAGAACGAGCTTGCAATCGGTCAAAAGATATTGTGCAAAAAAGATTCTCGTTCTCCTGTATTGTAAGTATCAGAATTTTTCCAGCGCGTTGAACGAAAAGCGGTGTCTAGAGATAAGTTGCCGGGCTGAAAATTTTTATACGTAACCGCATGATCGACTACGTTCTAATTTTGCGCCTGTCACGTCTGCTAATAACTGTTATCGATTGATCCTTGACACGTACGACCCGTATCGCTAATGTACTTTATAAACGTTGTAAACGATCGAATGTTGAACACTCCGTTCTATTTATGATTCTAATAAAGAGAAACGAGAAAAGGAGCAGAGGAATTGTTGAAATTGTCGAGGAACAATTTACGTATTTGTGGTGGCTTGTCGACAATACATTTTGTTTACAAAAAGAGAGAGAAAGAGAGATAAACGAAGGTATATTTCCATGCCTGTTGCGAACTTTTCTTCATTAGGTACCTTCCATTTGGTGGCACAAGTCGACACGAGTGTCGTTTTATTTATATTGCTTACTGAATGTAAAGAAAGATGGAACGATGCTTGTGTCGATTTGTACCATTAAATGGAAAGCACCCATATTAAACGAGCTACTCGCACACGCAACACCGACATCGATTCTAGTCTTTCTCATCAACACGATGTACGCGATACGATCTCGTACGACAGAATACGGGATTACCTCGCGAAAAGATAATCCTTTAATGTCCATTTCTATCAGCGTAGATTAACTTTAATCTCGGTTTAATTTACTCTTTATCCTTTTATAATTCTTAGAACTAGAAAAAGATAAAAAGTAAGTTAAACCGAGATTAAAGTTAATCTACGTTAGTAGAAATGGGCAGAAATTGTACAGAGACACATGATCGACTTTAGATGCAGCGTTAACGTCACAAGTATGCTAAGTTCCACGGACGAGATCGCGTCAATTCTTCTCACTGGCCACTCACTTAAATAATCTGAATTCTGTGATAATCTCGCGCGAGGACAAGAAAAAAAAGACTGATTAGGAAAACCCCAAATCTTCTTACATGTATCTTTTTTTTTGTCACTTTTTCCCACCCTCACAAAGAAAAAGGAATCACTATTGAGCAATGAGAATGAGATGACTTGAGCATCGCCTCGCACTATCCCTCGAATTTGATACCTATCGTCATACTGTCGTTGTCAGTCGCGTTAAAGTAGAAATACGTGTTCTTGTTGGCGAAAAAATATCAGGGAAGAATGGATTGCACCAAATTGGCGCGATCTTTAAAGTCTGATGCCCGATTGAGCACGTCGCAGCCGTTATTCGGCTTGCTCTCCGAGAAAGCCTTGCTGGTGAGAAAGCGTGTATAATCAAGATCAATCGCCCCTTTTCCTCTCGCCCCCTCCTCTTCCCTCTCAATGCCAAATTATTAGTAAATTTCTCCCTTGTTAGTCTAGTAAATGCTGTAAGTACACTGTGTTAATAAATAACTCTGAATCCGAAATGCGTGTATTTCCTTCATAAACATCAGCTTATTTATCATCTCTGACGTCATGCTGTGACAATTCAACTCCAATTAACATAATCGGTGATTAATTTGTTAATGTATATTACTGTTAATAATATTATTCACTTAGAAAGAGAGATTTGATTAGCATTCACGGACATAGTAGACAAAATTTTGCAGTGAGCAATTCTATCGGTCGTATTAAACATCAATTAAGTTAATCGGAATTAATTGGCCGAAATCGTCCTAAGTTTTCAAGTAACGTATTCTGTATTTTTATTAATGAATAAAACTTATAATTTATTGTCACTTTTGTATAGAAAAAAAAGATTAAAGACGACAAAATTATGAAAGAAATTTTACAATTCTACAATTACATTAATTTGTCAATTAATTAATTTAACGGTTTGCTTTAATCTTCCGAAAATATTGCGAAAGTAGTCTCAGATCACCGTTAACTTTAATTGCTTTCCATTTATACACAAGTAAAACTGAGTCTGAAGTGAGCTGAGTATTTTATACTCAGATTAATATGACATCATTATTTGCTTACTTTGGTAAAAAATTATCACATGACAACACATTTTATACTCAGATTAATATGACATCATTATTTGCTTACTTTGGTAAAAAATTATCACATGACAATACTCCACTTTTAAAGTGGTTTATAACTCCACTTTTAAAGTGAGTTTACAAGACTCATAGCACACGGTCTCGATCTTGTGCAGATTATAGGCAAAAATTCAGTTAAATCTCGCTTGTCAGAATGCAAAAGGAACGCGCATTCACAACTGTTATGATGTCACAAGTGAGAATTATCTGAGAATCGGTATAAATGGAAAGCAACTTTTGTGATACATTGGGCGAGTTCAAGACGGCAAAGCGGCTAGGGCCCAGTTTCACAACTCATGGTTAACTCTTAACCGAGGCTCAACTTGTTTCTCATTTTTTCCAATTCTAAAATTGGAAAGATACAATGAATAAATTGAACTTCGGTTATGAGTTAACCGTTATTTGTGGAACTGGGCCTAGGAATGCTTACCGAGCGATTGAATATGATTGATTGGATCTACAAGTAACAACTAATTATGCTCATTTGCTCGGCAAGCAGGCTAGCTGCTTTGTCGACTTGAACGCGCTCATTCATAATAATAGGGGAGGTCAAGACGGCAAAACGGCTAGGCATCCTTACCGAGCGATTGTATATGATTGGTTGGATCTATAAGTAACAACCAATTGTGCTCATTTGCTCGGCGAACTGGCTAGCCGCTTTATCAACTTGAATCGCTTGAACGCGCCCATTGAAAACAATCTTATAAATCCGTCGTCGACGCGCCGCACATCTAAAACAGCTTTCCAGCGCGCATGAACTGCTTATTTGTATCGGTTCTCAATGTTCGCACATGTATGTACATCCTTTCGTAAATAAATACAATACCATCCAACGGAACATACAGCATCTATGCAGGGTGTTGTATGATTGTTGCTGCATTTAAATAATATAGTGGAACAATATCAACATGAGAATGGCAGTTGAATTCCACGTCTCTTGACAATCCCGGCAGTCTCCGACGTGGAATGTTTTCAGATTATTCAACTTCGAGATAATGCATTCCTAACCTCCAACAAGGTGTAAATCCAGTTCATTCAATTTTATACGATTTGAGAGAAAATTCTGTTCTCGCGTTCGACTAACAAATACCTAACGAATAAAAAGGACATCGTAAAACGAAACTGATCCGCTTGGTACATCTCGCACATTACTTGTGCGATTTGAAATTTCATGTTTGACAGCTATGGAAGATCAAATTCACTCGGAATTAATTCTAAAGGAGGAGCGGGAGGAGGACGAGATCAAAGGGGGCCGCTGCTCTGCCGAGACTGCCGAGAGCGAGAAGAGCGTCACCCCTGACGGGTCGGCGATCGGGATACGGCCGAAACCTCTGATCTACAAACCGGAAAACGTGAGCATTGGCTGCAAGTCGGAGCCACTCGAGACAAAATGGCACTGGGCACCAGGAGCGTGGCAAGACTCGACCAGGACTAGCGCCTTCCAACCATACAAGGTACTCCTCTCTCAGCCTTCTCCTTGAACTCCACGGGACATCGGTATCGACCTCAAGAGTCAGGGGATTCACCCGTCGCGACAAAGAAGTTATTGTAATACCGTTGCCTGTAGGCCATAGAATATTTATATTTTATAACTAAATATATATAAGATCTATTTTTTATACAGAAGCTAAGCGGTTCATGGATTATCTCCATGTCCAGATTCATTATTAGAAATGCCAATGTTTCGTGAATATTACAGTTTACTTTATCAGGGTGAGGAACAGTCTGACACAGTATCAGACTGCTCCTTGTCCTGATGAAGTAAACTGTAATGTTTACAAAACGTTGACATTCTAATAATGAATCTGGACAAGGAGAGCTTATAGCTTTTGAATAGAAAGTACCCTGTGGAAGCTTCAAAAGCATTATTCATTTTTTATCTATTTGTAGCCACCCACTCTGCTCACAAATTTGCAAAGAGGCAACACTCAAACGCAGATACACCAGCTCTATGTTGGCAACGACATCACGTTTCATACCTTGGCGGGTCAGGGGGAACTTACATCTGACCATATACATTCAAGTAAATTATATGTATGCACTGTACATCTTATGGTGAATTCAGTCACACGCACTACATTGAATTAATACATATTAAAAAGGCTGCTTTATATAAAGTATCTAAATGCAGTAGTTTAATATGATCAACTTTGACAATGAGATAATACACATATATCCTGTTAAATAACGTGACAATATCGTTAATGGAAATTTAATTATTTAAAATATTTAAATAAATATGTTAATTTATGTATATTTTATGTATATTATAGCTATTTTAGCAGTAATCTAGTAATGCAAGTGATTAAATTCGCCATTGTCTAAATTAAAATACAAATATTGTTGTAAAATAACACATCTTTGCTGCACAGACTCAGTGGATATGACTGATGAAAAGGGCTTAACCGGATTGATGTGGGCCAGTGCTTACGGACAAATAGGTAGTGCTAAACAATTGCTCAAAAGGGGCGCCAGTATAAATCGTTGTGGACCAAACTTACAGACTAGTCTACACTTGGCGGCCGCCTATGGTCATCATGATGTTGTCAAATTATTGTTAAATCATGGAGCTGATCCTAACGCATGTGACGAGGTACACGCATTTCTTTTAAGTATAAACTTAATTTCTGGTATCATGTGTCATATAATTATATTTCTGTGCTGTAGGATGGTAATACTCCATTAATATATGGAGCACACTGCGATCATCCACATGTTTGCTATGAATTATTAATAAAAGGTGCAGAAATAACACTTACTAATACCTCAAATGTAAGTGCTTATAAAGCAGCAATTATGAATAATTCAATGAATGGTAAGTATTTTCTTTTAAAAGCATTTAAAAGGATCTACATGAAAATGGTAAATTTGATTTTTATTAATTTGCAGCTAAAGCAGTTATTGAGAATCATTTGATACCACAAATTATAAGTACGCCAACGGATGAATTATAACGATATTTGTTTTATTAAATTGTAACATTTGTATATTATACGTTTTTACAAATTGTAAATAAAAATGAAGAAATAACTGTATTTTTGTCGTTTAAGTATAAGAAAAATTTTTCTATATAGCATATTTTTAACAATAATTTTAAAAAACATGACAATACAACGTGAAATATTTTCCGAGACAAGGTAACAAACTTACGAATGAGTAACAAAATTTGATATATATATTTGGTAATAATACAATCTTTTGCAGGAGCTATTGCAATACTAAAATATATGTATCGAGTAGAAAGTAAATATGATAAATTTGCGTGTATGAATTATAACCAAGTTTAGTCCAATTAAAATATATCTTCTTTTTTTACAAATGTGTATAAGTATTCGGCACCGAACAGCTATTAAATAGCATATTAAATTGATACATGTACAGAAATATAGCAAATGACATATATCAATATTTAATGGATCACGTAAGAATGGCTGTATGGCAATAAAATTAAAATTCAAGTAGTAGTCAATCTTGATTGTTGATCGTAACATTATGCTTTCCCACTGAACTGTGCCTATTTTCATATTCTTACATACGCAGATACTTTTCATCTATTATCCATAATGTCTTATGCAACTTCATAATTATCAGTAAAGAACACTGATTCTACTGAATATTTAACTGGGCTCTGATCTTCTACAAGCAGAACTTCGCTAACCTGAAAAGTAAAAATAACATTATTTTTAGATAATTTGATATAATTTGCGCAACACATAGAAATCCATGTGTTCTATACCTTAATTTTAGCGTACGGTGTTTTAGACGTAAACGAAACGTGAAGTGGGAAGAAATCTGCAGGTGTAGAAGATGGGGCTGAAAATTCCATAGAGCCTGATTTCGTTGAAGCGTCGATCACTGGTAGGGACCAAACTAACGTGTTTCGTCGTGCTTCGTGTGTATACTGTCCGTCGCATTCACTGACGATAGGATTACATCCAATAGGTAGAGGAATGTTTATTTGGACGTCATTCAACTCAAGATCGGCCTGTTCCAATTCGTATTCGATGTTCACGTCGCAGCCACCCTCTCCGTTTTCAGAAGGCCAGCAATTTACTATTACAAACAATTAAATGTATATATATTTCATAGATTTAAAAAAAAATTTATTAAAAAGTAAAATCGTATATGACAATTATTATTGCTGCCTTACTTGAAATCGGTAATGCTGTTTCGTCTTGAGCTTGAAAACGCCATTTCAGCACACCAACGTCAGTGTTCAATGGGAATGGTTTCGTAGGTACTTTCAGACCTATCTGTCCATGTGATCTAAACAATTCCTTGTCCACGTTTGGATGAGTTTGTAACTGTATTCCTCTTGTGTCGCTATTCTCGACTTGCACACGGATACGTCCCCATTTCTCGTCAGAGATGTATAAAGTTACCAAGCCATGCAACTCGAAATTTTGTAAACCTCCATCCCGACCGACACGTACATTAAGTCGTTCTTCTTGTCTTAAGTGAACCCTTTTGATGGAAATACGTTTGAATAATTTGTTCGTGAATGATTTTGAAGCTTCTATATATCGTAAATATAACATACAATTCTGTATTAATTATCTGAGGAGTTTGCGTTGATTTTGTTCCAAGAGCAGCAAGTGGTCCTGATACGACATTTTCTCCTTCCTCCTTTAATTGATCAACGAATGAGTCTACATCGCGAGACTTTCCACCTAATTTCATTGCACCTGGTCCAACATTTAGTGGTTTCCTAATAAAAATAATAATTATAGTAAAAATGTTTACATTTATAAATACAATTACAATCAAGATTAAAATTGATCATACAGCTTGGGCTTGTAAGAAGGTCTAATTGGTTCAGGCACAAAGTTAGCTGTATCACCAACAGACGGAGTAGCTGGGGTGCTACCGCTTCCATATCCTCCGCCAAATGCAGGACTTTTAATTCCGCCTTTTTTATTAGCTTCCATCATCCTTTGCCTCTGCAATTCTTTGGCCTTTTCACGCATCTTGTTCTTAGCTTCACGCTCTTGTGTCATTCGAACTGCTTGATAAACCTTCTCCTCATGTGAATCCATTTCTACAAAAGTTCTGATTTGTGCTAAATTGACGTTCTCCCTATAGCCTAATGCAACTATTTCATCAAATGCAAATATCAAATTAAACGCATTCTCAGCTATTTCAAGTTCATCCATTGAATTGCAGTATTCTGGAATCTGTAGAAATCAAACATTATTGTATATATACTTAATGCACATATAATTAATATCTACAGTAATGAGTTTTGTCTACAGTATAATGGAGCAAGCCTTTCCTATACTAAATTATAAAAAACTGCAGCCTGATAGAAAAAAGGAAAACATACGAATATTTGTCTTTCTGACTCTTTCCTTTAATTATGATTATAAAACAACATTAGCCAATCAATAAAAAAAATAGTTATCAGAATATCATTGGCTGCGTTCAGCAGAGAAAACTATTCAGTTAGCACTTGGTGATTCTTCAATATGATTGATTCTTGCCTTTAGTTCTTCACTGGATCAAAGTGTAGGAAGCATTATATTAAAGAATCACTAAGGACTAATTGATTAGTTTTCTATGCTGAATGTAGCCAGTGTCTAGGAATTAGGACATCTTTACTTCTCAATTGCTCACTCAAATATATCAAAAATGTGTTTCTCTTAGCATTCGTAATGCTCATGAGCATCTTTTCATTCTTGTTTAGCATTTGATAAACAACAACATAATGCTTGAAACATTGTGAATGTCAAGTAGAACATATCCTATAGAGCTCACTGATCCATAGAAATGACTGTGTTGAGCAGAGAAAATTAATCAGCGCTTAGTGATTCTTTAATATAATTGGTTCTTGCTTTTAGTTCTTCGTTAAATCTAAGTGTAGGAACCAATCGTATTAAAGAATCACTAAGCGCTAAAAAAAAAACTGTTAGTTTTCTCTGCTAAACGCAACCATTACTTTTACGATCCATTAATATATCTACTTACCACTCTCGCAAAGAGCCTTAAAGTTTCCAAATCCTCCAAAATATTGCTGGCCTTAGTCGTGATAAGCAGCATGTATACTTTCTCAAGCGGCTGATAAACATATCTAACAGATTCCGTTTCCACGAACGTATGCTGTTTACCCGAGCTCATTAGTTTTGGGAATGCAGCAAGTAGGCCTTCTATCCTCGCTTTTGTCATTTCGACAAACTGTCGAGAAATTATAGCTGGAAGAGTAATACAAATCGTGATGATGAAATAATTGCATCAAATATTTTTTTTACAAATTACTTAATTCTATCAATAAAAATAGGTTCAAGGAAACAGAAAATTATGCGATTTTTCCTTACAACCGACCAGCTGATACTTGTTTCTCAACAAATAGAACAGAATGTGGATTATAGATATGAGGTAAAAGTATCATGTGATTAGTAGCTGACATTATTAAACCGAGACACGCATACGCGACATGTGTACGGCAGTGGAGCAATGCAAGAACGTTTTGTGAACTCACTTTTTCCGGATTTGGTGCATACCGCAGCGGCGATGAGTACCTAGAAAAAAGGAAGCATATAATACCACATAAATTTAGCTACAGAATTAAATGCCTAGCGGGCACACGCCGTTAAATGGATGACATCTGTGGACGATGTCATGAGCGGCTCCGTCGCTCCAGGATTCCTTTTTCAAGAAGCAGAATTTTGACAACGATCCCACGGTCGCGGAAGAAAATCACTTACCATCCTGACGAGTGATTCTGTAACGCTCCGTGTGTGCGATTTAATCTAAATGTATTTCCTTATCGTACACGAACCGACCTCTCCACATCACACATATACAAATACACGAACAAGGGAAACAGAGGGCGCGCTGTGCTGACGTGTGCCATGATGAGAGACCGAGAGACGTCTCGCCATGGATCACGATAATCGTAGTAGGAAACCTATGAAGGGTATTCGCGGATCACGTGGACGCGATGATGCAGTCAAACGTCATCCAATTACATTGCCGGAAGAATAGTAGTCTAAAATAAAATTGATACGTGTTCAGGCACTTCAGGCTTATGCTGGATTCACATTGGATTCGACGTGCGTCGTACGACGTTCTGCAACCAATCAGAAAGCAGATTTTTATTTCGTATCGATGATACGAAGCAAAATCTTTACGTGCGTCGTACGACGTTCTGCAACCAATCAGAAAGCAGATTTTTATTTCGTATCGATGATACAAAGCAAAAAGTTTATATAATACTTTTAAAAAGTGTATTTAAAATGCAAAATACAAAATTGATTTTTCGAATGTAAAATGGACAAATAGCTGTATTTTAAATAGTTTTCGAATGCAAAATTTTTTTATATGTTACAGCCCTTAAGGTATGTCCACACAAACTTGCATAGTTGCATAAACGTATGCATAAAGAAAATTATCCAATCACATTTCTCATATAAAGACATACGTAAAATGTGATTGGATAATTTTCTTTATGCACATGTTTATGCTGCTATGCAAGTTTGTGTGAATATACCCTTATGTATTACGTGTTATACGTTATGCAAGAGTCTATACTCTCCGTCTTAGAAAGAAAAAAGGATAAATAAACGGAAAACAGAAAGATTTTCGCGACAGATATCCTCACTATACATACATACCTACGAAATATATATTATATTTATTGTGTTATTAAAAAATTGTTATGGAACATATCTAGACATTATTTTTAAATTTCAGAATAATTTTAATTAACTGTGACATAAAAGTGATATAAAGCAAGATATAATCGTTTAAACAATTGGATGCGTAGCATCTCAAAAAATTTGTAAAATACTGTAATATCTGTAAAACACTTTCGTCTTATTTCTAGGAATCATGTTTGGCGTACAATAGAGGACACCACCGAACAGTATAGTAGGCAATGTGTTAGCAATGTGGTTTACGGAGCGATGAAAAGATAAACCCATCTTTTCCAGTCTTTTCATCGCTCCGTCATAAATTC